CCCAACCCTTTTTATTTTTTATTTCAAGACAGGGTCTCCATAAAACTTAAATAAGTTCTGTAAGTGAAACCTGAATCATGGTAGCCAGGGGCAGTGACTTTCATCTCTACTCCCAGCTGCTGGCAGGCTGAGGCAGGAAGATCAGGAGTTCAAAGTCAGCCTGGGCAACATGGTGGAGGAATGTATATGATCACTAAAGCCTGAATAATGATCGGAAATAGAAAATTCAAGTGCTTTCCAAAATGCCGGCTCAGCTGGCCTATGTTAACAATTCAGTGTGAATCCTGTGACATTTTCCTGTGCACTTATAGAATTTGTAGGGTTTTTTTTTTCTTTTTTACTTGAAATTTTCCATAAATGGAAATATGAATTGGTCATGAACCAGTCTCCTGCCCCTCCTTTACAACATGACCTGGAAAAAAAGTCTGCCAATCTGTAGAACTTTCCCCTCATTTTTCTTTCACCTGAGAAACACATTTCACACCACAGACTACCACAAGGGCTTTCTTTTTAGCACAACAACTGAGTGCCTACTGTGTGCTTTGTGTCCATCACAACAAGCCTTCCCTTGTCCCAGGGGGTTAGAGATTGTTCTGGGTGGTAGAAAATGCTGAGCCGCCAAGTTATCAGACAATAGGCACATTCAGAATCCAGGTGGGGTGAGACCTGTGTGGGCTGCAGCAGCTGGCAAGCCTCTGAGGGGAGGCAGCAGCTGGGCCTGGGGTGTGGGGTGCCTTGTGAGCCAGCAAGGGGAGGAGGCAGCCTCTGTTGTTGGTGGAGAGGGGGATGCTATAAGCCAAGGCAGAAGGGAGGGACCTCATGCAGATTCTGGAGGCCAGGAATGTGAAAAGGGAGTGTTTAGGTACTGACTCAGTACTTTAGGTGAAAGGGGCATTCAGACTATGGAATCACCACAGGAAGTGAGGGGGCTGGGGGGACACTTCCTCCTTACCTTTTGCCCTTCACTTCTGACCTCAGGTCTGATAGACCTAATGAGGTCACTAATGTGGCTGTTTGGGTGGGGCTTGTTGGCAGGGATATGAGCAAGCCTAGAGAACCTGGAGAACTGGAGTGGCAGGTCCTTTCCCTCTCCCTGCCCTGGGGCTGCCCCCATCCAGAGTGGGCTGCACTGTCCAAGGTGTATTCATTCATTCAGTGATGATGGAGAGCTGTATAGGCCCAGCCGTGTTGTGAGGCTGGGAAGACAGCAGAGAACCCTGTGCTGGAGTTTGTATTCTAACCTGTTCCAGAGAACAGGCAGTAATGTGTAAAACATTTAGGGTGTTGGTAACAAATGTTTGGGAAAAATGAATCTGCTGAGGAATTGCTGGGGAGCATTGGAGTCTTCTGAGAAGGCCTCACTGATGGGACCCTTTGAACAAAGACCCAGGAGAGGGGAAGGATTAGACCACATGGCTTTAGAGTGAAGAGTATTCTAGACCAAACAGTCAGGGCATAGCCTCTAAAAAGTAGAGCTGGAAGGCCAGTGTGCATGGACTTGGGTCATCCAGGGGCAGGAGGTGGCAAGAGAAAGGAGGCGGACAGCACCTTGCTTAGATAGGCTTGCTTTCATTACAAGGACTTTGTCTTTCCCCTCCCTTCTCATCTCCCAGTGGATGGTGGAGTTTGATGGTTAATAGTTTGAACACTGGCTCCTGACTGCTCAGGGTCCCAGCTGAGCAGAGGGCCCTCTCCCTGATCCACTTGTCCCAAGGTGGGGCCCCTGCCTCCTGTTGGCACATTCTGTGCTTGCTAGCAGTCCTTCCTTGTGCTGCCCGTCTGGCTTCCCCAAGGGGCTGAGTCAGGACACTTCCTACCCTCTGTCCCTCTCCTGTTTAGGGATCAGTGGTCTTCTCATCCTAGCACAGTGCCTGGTGTGTCGGTGTGTTGTTGGCACTATTCAATGAGTAGTTGATAAGGCCTGAGATGTGACAGCAGAGTCCCCAGGGACAGGATGGACTATCTCCATTTTGGGGGACTTTTGAGAGCAGTACAATGAGTGAAGAGAAAGCCAGATTCCTAAAACTCCTTTATTTTTTT